GGGGGGGGGGGGGGGGGGGGGGGGGGGGGGGGGTACTCATAGTCGTGCATGCCGTAGTCGCGAGACCATTGGCCTCGCATCCTTACAAGCCGGGACGGAGCACGCCGGGTTCTCACCAGACCAGGCTCTCACATCACCAAGCACGAAGCGTACCGATGGGGGGGGGTTATACTGATGTAAACGCATGCCGTAGTCGCTATTATATATAGAAGACTGACCTCGCATCCCTACAACGCCGGGACGGAGCGATATGCCGGGTTTTCGCTGGCCCAGATGTACAAACGTTTCACAAGGATGAACCAGAACCTGGGCATCATCCTGGCGTTTGCCGTGCCAAACCAGATATGCCATGGGGTTGATTGGTTGGGCACCCCCGCTGCCCGCAGGTTTCACATTCGGCGGACACGACTGGACTCTTTAAGTGCCGGAATGAATGCCTTTATCCATCAATATGCCACCGTTGTCAGTTCAAGGTATCCTTACCAATGAAGTTTTGTTCGATTTACCTACTGAACCCTTCGAAGACTTTTCATGCGTGAATAGTTGCGATGATCACCGGGAAAAAATGTGATGCTCTGTGTGGTTTTAGTCGGCACTCGTCGCGCACGGGATATTTGTGCTATTTCGCGAGCCCAACGTGCAAGGAGATGTAAAACGGCTTCGCCAGAGATGACGTCGGATGCCGTCGCAATATGCACATGGCCACGTACCGAGCAACAGCTCACACGCAGAGTACCAGCAGCTCCCACTTTACACGTGCTGCACATCCATCCGATAACCCTGCTTACTCGCCCCTACACACACGATTCCCTTTGCGACACTACTCCACTGCCCCTGTTGTGGCATTCACTGCCACCCTACACTGTACACATTTCTCGCGCACACAGAGCAGACACAGCAGCGCGGCTACGGGCTAATGCTGCCCTCGTAGTTCTGGAAGAATAATGCTGTTGTCGCGCAGGTGAACAGAGAAAAAAAGAACAAAAGTGAGCCTAAAGGACTCACATCTGGGATGGGGGGACAGAGGAGTACAGCGTCTCGAGCTCTTGCATTGGCCTGAAGGGCTGTATCCTCTGCTCACGGATCGCTTTTCAAACACTACTCAACACAAGACTATTTGTACCGACAGGCGGCAGGGATATCAATGACTACGGTGCACGCCAAACGCACTCTGCCGGCGACAATTCTCCCACACCACGACCATTACATTTCCCGAAAATGCATCAGAAGCCTGTTGAGGGTAGCCGATACAACCTTACGCCTAGCTGCTTATCCTAAAGCCACACATCTTGACTTCCATCTTCTGTGGCTGGCTGCACTTCCCTCTCTTTTCATCTCCACTTCCGTTCCTTTCAACGAAATAATTGGAAGAAACACAGCGAGCATCCAATAGTCCCACTTCAGTCCAGATCCGGAGAGATGAATCATCAAAATTAACCGCGTTGTCCATACTTTCAAGGTTAGGTTCTGTAGGGTACGGGTAATGTCTGTGGGGTATTGGATCTGTTACAGAACCGGAGGGTAATCTCTGTAGGGTACGGGATGTGCTACAGAACTCACAGAAGTGTAGGGTATTGTGGCATGACCGTCACAGAACTCACAGAAGTGTTGGGGTATTGTTACAGAACAAGAGGGTAATCTCTGTAGGGTATCGGGTGTGCTGCAGAACTCACAGAAGTGTAGGGTATTGTGGCATGACCGTCACAGAACTCACAGAAGTGTTGGGGTATTGTTACAGAACAAGAGGGTAATCTCTGTTGGGTATCGGGTGTGCTACAGAACTCACAGAAGTGTAGGGTATTGTGGTGCAACCGTCACAGAACTCACAGAAGTGTAGGGTATTGTATACAGACCAAGAGGGTAATCTCTGTGGGGTACCGTGTGTGCTACAGAACTCACAGAAGTGTAGGGTACTGTGGTGCAACCGTCACAGAACTCACAGGGTAGGCTCTGTAGGGTATCTGTAGGGTAACTACAGACGGTCATTACCCTCGGTACCCGCGCGAGTCTCTGTATTTGCACACTGTGCTGTTTGCCTTCGTTCGACTCGGTTTCAAGGTACTAAACCAAGACTTGAAAACATGAAGCGTGCTTGCGTACGGCCCCTATATATCCCAGTCCTCAACTTCCCAGGTGACAGCGGAGGACTACTAATAAAAAAAAACATAAACATAAACAAAAAGCATTTCACGTTTAGACTATGTTCGTTTTCCTCTACCCTCTCCACTTCCCAGAGGGGGAAAAACCTGCACGACGAAAAAAAGATCAAGACTGAAAACCTGAGTGCAAAGGATTTCGTGGTGCGCCCCCACGACTACTCCTCGCCAGCAGGCAAGGGGCAAACTCCGTTCCCATCCGACTTTTTCCCAACACAACAGCAGTAGCGAGAAGCAAAGAGGGGTCTCTCCTGAACACCCCCCCCCCC